TGCATGCAACTTGTATTGAATTGATATGAACGAAAATATATTATTACCACGGGCACACACGAGTCTCATTAAATACATACAATCTAAATTGATACTCCTTTCGTTTTAAAATATCTGAAATATTGCACTTTTTTCACAATTTATGTACTTCGTATTAGATTTGACCGTGATTTTTTACTAATATAATTAAAAAAAACAAAACATATTTTATCATAAAATATGTTGTTTGATAAGCATTAATATAAAGTTTCATAATATTAATTTTAAAATAATTTTCACTAATATTTAGGGCCTGTTCTCATACGTTTATTTTCAGTTCAGCTCAGTTCAGTTTAGTTCAGTTCAGCTCCTAATTTCCTTCTCTTATAAAATATTCATTTCAGTTCAGTTCAGTTAAGCTCAGTTCAGTTCAGTTCAGCTGAGTTCAGTCAATGAGAACAGACCCTTAGTTATATAAAAATAAAGTCAAGCTATTGCATTGACATGTGAGCAATGTTAACTATGTTAAATATTTTAGACAGAAAGAGTATGAAGGAAAATAGTCAAAATACTTAAATGAGGTAACTTTTTATTACTGTTACCATTACCATTCCGTATTAATCAAATCACTATTGACTAATGACATTATACCCAAATAAAAGAGATATGATTGTAATTGTAATTTGTAAGTCATATTCTTGTCAGAAAATGGGGAGAGGTGAAATTAAATTTAAACATCAAAATCACGAGGGAATTAGAGATATCATGCCAGATTACTAGCTGGCAGCAGCCGTAGGTTCCTTGCTTCTTAAAGCACAGGATCATTGCTCACAGTTTTCCTTATGTTTCACACGCATGTTATAATAAATCAATATGGTAAATCGATCTTATTTAAAAATCAACCTTTTCGTCTTTATTTGTTCATGGATGAAGTTGGCAATTGTTGAATATACAAAGAAAATTAACACATGAATAATCTTACTTTTGTGGGAAAATTTATTTACCACAAACTAGCCTTAGTAACTTTAGATGTGTGTTTTGAATAGAAGAAGAGATATTTTTAAAATATTAAATATAATACTCCGTAACATCTTTCTAATTTTCAATATAAAATGCAACTAATATTATTGCCGTACATACTTTAATTTATTATTAGTGTATGTATCAAACCAATTGTTGTCCGTACAATACATGTATGAGTATGTATATTGTCCCTTTTTTGGGTTATTGGAGAGATTTTTTTAAAATGCAATTTCAATTTATCAAAAAATAATAATGTTAATTGATAAATTTATGTTCTCTTCACCTTACTTAAGGTTTCAAATTACTGAAATAATTTTTTCAATACATTATTCACATGATCTCACATCTAGGTATACATTTTTTCACCAAAGTTAATTAAATTCAGGTTAATAGAACCTAACCTCGAATAAATTAAATATACTACTTTTTTGTGTGTCTCTCTTTTTTCAATTATATAGAGGATTAGGGAAACAATAATTATAATTAAAACTTAATTCACAACTTAATAATGCTAGGATATATATTAGATGGGTCAAGTGATCATGGTATAAACATGACTTTATAGATTTGCATGTAGGCATTAATGCACACAAAATCTATGGAATGTAGAAAATCTTTGATGGAAATGTCTTCTTCATCACTTTACATATACAAAATTGTATAGTATATGAATATAATATCTAAACCAAGGCTGGATGCATAAAATCATAATAATGGTACCCATTTCAAAGATTCTCATAATCCCTTAAGCTGGGTTGTAATAATACCCAATTTGGCCCACTCAATTTTGAAACCCATACTTTGGCAACATACCAACCCTCTTTTTAATAAGCTACCTATTCTTTTTTTCATTAACCGTGTAATAACTAATTAGAGAGAGAAAAAATCTATAGGGTGTTACTTTTCGAATCTTTGCATAATTATGTTTAGAAAAGTGTGCATAAAATGTTCCTAATTCTATTTAGCATTGTTTTTTTAATGTATAGTATTGTTAAGATATATATGTAAATATATTCTGTTACTGTATTTTAGCTAAGCATATAGTAACAGAATATATTTACATATATATCTTAACACTCACAGCGGATAATGATGTACACGGGTTCTTAAGTTGATCGACTTGATCCTAACCCTATTGGCTACTACGTACGATGTTACCTTTGATACTATATCGTTATCCAACCAAGGCATATTCTTTTTTATTACGGTGTACTACTTCATAAGAGAAATATAGAAAGAAAATCTATAGGGAGTATCTTTCAAATCTTTGGATAGATATGTAAGAGATGTATGCAAAAAATGTTTCTATTTATATGAAGTTGAAAAAGTCATATGACGTGAGAAAAAAATTGGCACAACAATTTAAAAGCTAAATATTGGTTCGTCCTTTCATATCTTTGGAAAAATCTATACTAAGTTAGGTCATGGCATTGTCGCTTTAATAAGATCTTTCTCTGTCTAACCAAGATTTTCTTGACTAATCTACTTAATAGCAATTTGCAAAGTGTTTGGAACTCAAGAAGAGAACAACAAGTGGATCTAGATTACAGATTTTATCATTAGATATGGATCATGCATGTGAATAATAAAAGCTTGTTGAAATTGTGATTTTTGTGGGACATTTAAATTTATAATTACGTATCGAGTAGTATTTGGTCTAATGGATGGTATATATTAAAGTTTGACCCGTAGCTATATATCTATCGTAATCTTAATGTCTATATGTGATCAAATTGTACTAAGCCGAACTCTTTAATCTAGCGATAGGGATTTAGACGTACTTTTTTCCTTGCCCCTCACTTCTAAGGAGCATAAAGGGACACATGAAAAATTATGTATGTTCAAATGAGTTATATATTTTACTTGTCCAAAAATATATTTATGTCAATGACGTTGACAATTTTTCCACTCAAAACTAGAAATTATCTAAGAAGTAATCTGTTTTTCTTGGTGTCACCTAATAGTCAAATTATTCTTCTCTTTCTTGATGGAAGGGTAGTTGTTCTAGCTTCTAGGTATAAGTAACAAATACTCAAATAACCAACAAGAGTTGGCTCTAGTAAGCAACTTGATGTCGCTTAAGGGAGGTCTCGGGTTCGAGCCTCACCGTATGCAGAAACTCTTGTTGGAAGACTCACCCACCATAAGTCAGGTGTGCTACCTGAGTCAGATCCAGATGTAGTCGGAGCTAAGCTCCGGTGAAACGGGTGGACAACCTTAAAAAAAAAATACTCAAATAACTCGGAGGTAGTATAAGTTCTCACATAATTATTTAAAGATGAGTCGAGTAATTAACATTTTGATGGACATTGGATGGACCTAAGACTCAAGTTTCAGACTATACATGCATACATCCATAATCATGTTATAATTAGATTAATATTAGTATTAACCTAGCTAAGCTAGGTTAATGATGAAGAGAATAACTGGTTACAAAATTTTAAATGGTCCTACTGTATGTACTAGTAAAATTATGACCATCACTTACTAATTATCTACTAATGACCATGCATAACTACATAAGTACAGTTATATATAGTTGGCTTGGGAGTTGGGACCATATGTTATAAATTTTTGTCATGCACTCTTACGTTTCGAAATATAAACCACCAAGGCACCAACATACATCTTTAAATTATTCATTGCCACTTATTTTAAATCAAATATATCAAAATTAGATCACCAATAAGAATCCTTATTTATTTTATTTTTTTAAAAAATCATAATAACGTATTTTAGTTTTTTTATTTATTATTATTATTTTAAATTACACAATTTATTTGGATTTTTTTTCTTTTTTTTTTATTAAATTTTTTTTTTAAAAAAAAAAATTTAACTCTATGCTGGTACTTTTGTGAGGTGTATTGTAAATAATAAATCTATCAGTAATTAAATAATAAATCTTAATTAAAATCGATTCTCAACGCTCCCCGTTGTGGCTCTCTAAAAAAATAAAATAATAATCTTTGATTCCAACTCTACCCTTTTTTTTCTTCTTGGATTGTATAACAGGATAAACGTGTTTTGTAAATTGGACTTAAAGGATTAAGTTGACTACGGTTTACTAAGGCATGACTTAATTAGCCTGTACAGTTTAGATAAGAAAAAAAAAATATTATAATACCCTTCTTACAATAACTACTCAACACGTGTTATATGTGTAGTAAATTTCATACATTATATAACAATATGATAAAAGTCATGGTGAATTGGTGGGGATAAACTCTATCTTGCCAAAATTAGTAAATATGATAAATTAGTGTTATTTAACACACACACACCCAAAAAAAAAAAAAAATACACACACACCAAAAAAAAAACAAAACACACACACACACTAGCAACATATCAGTGATAGACTGATAGTAAATTAATAATTGGTTAAAATTTGATATATATAATGGATTTCAAAAAAAAAAAAAATGATGTATAATAATATTAACAAAGGACCATAAATGTATAGTTGGGAATATATAATGGAATAAATGTGTCTGTAATAACTCTTTAAAGTCAGATAAATTTGTTGATTGTAATTTGACAAATTTGTCATAACTTTTTTTTAATCATTTGCAAAATTGTGAATGCAATAAATCAAATACAGTGAGGGATAACTCAAGTGGCTGGTTAGAGCTCCCCTCCAATTTTAAAAGATTTTGAAATCGATTCTTATTATCACCCACTCTTTAACTCTCAAAACACTAATTTATTTATTTATTTTATTTTTTATTTTTTTTTACCCTTGACTTGAGATCTTGAGTACTTGAAATCACATCTCCCTTTGATATGGTACATACAACTATACAACATACTCAACATTACTAAACATTATTCTTCATGGTAAGTTGCATTGGTAACTAAAAGTCTTAAAGTAACCATTTATCAAAGGACAAATTAATTAAATATAAAGGAAAACAACTACATCCACATATCATAATTTCATACCTCTTTTAATTTATTTTCTTATTATAATATTATTTTTGGGTATATATACACCCATCAAGCTGAGCTTAGATCTCCTACATTATTTCCCAATTCCACCTATTTTCTTCTTCATTCATCTACAACAATTCAACATCATTTTCTCTTGTCAAAAAATATGGCAAAAACTACTCTCACATATTTATCTTACTTCTTCATAATATTCATAATCAGCCGTTTAATACCAATCATAGGTGTTAATCAAAGGTTATGGACCGACCTACTTCCTCTTAATCTCTTAAGTTTAGACATTTCCTCTAGATTAAGCCTAGACCAATCATCTCTAACCATGGCTTCCACTGATTTTGGCAACCTAGTCCACACGAACCCGGCCGCCGTGTTACACCCTTCTTCCATTGGTGATATAGTCTCCTTACTCAAATTCTCTAACAACCATTCCTCTCCATTTAAGATAGCGCCTCGAGGCCGAGGTCATTCTTGTAGGGGACAAGCCATGGTTGCAAATGGTGTTGTTATAGACATGCCATCTTTAAACAACCCTATTACACGTAACAACTTTGATAATAATAATTACGATGATAAAAATAATAATAATAATTATTATTATCATAATGATAGGATTAGGGTTTCTCATGATCCTTTACTAGGGTTTTATGCTGATGTTGGTGGTGAGCAGTTTTGGGTTGATGTGTTACATGCTACACTAGACCACGGTGTAGCCCCCGTCTCGTGGACCGACTATTTGTACCTTAGTGTTGGCGGAACCCTATCAAACGCCGGGATTAGCGGTCAAGCTTTTCGTTATGGTCCTCAGATAACCAATGTTCATGAATTGGATGTTGTTACCGGTATATTATCATATTCTTCCTCTAATATTTTTTTCATTACCTATTTCTATGTTCTTCTAAACTACTAATTAATTACACTTTTCCTCAAAAACTACTAATTACACTTTATATTAGTTATATTTTTTTGGTGCAAATAAGGGGAACCAAATTTTGTATTTTTAGACTATATTATACCGTTAACACTAATTCATAGGGATTTAGAAGTTTTATTTAAGATCTACCGTAAACTTAATTGGATTTTATTAATATACTAGGGTACAAGTTTTTTTAGAAAGAGTTTTTTAAAAAATTAAATTTGATACTTATTGAATTCATGGATTTTGTTTTACAAGATTTTTTGTACTACAATCTATGGGTTTTTAATTTTATTTTATTATTTTGGTAAAAAAAAAAAACAATGATATACAAGTAATTAATTATTTCAAGTTTTCAACAGCTTAAACTTATCCTTTTCTTTGGTTTAGAATATTTACTTTAATTTATTTGTTTTCAGGAAAAGGAGAATTAATCACATCTTCAAAGAAGAAAAATTCGGAGTTATTTCATGCGGTTTTAGGCGGACTTGGACAGTTTGGAATTATTACTAGAGCAAGAATTAGACTAGAAGCAGCACCAAAAAGGGTAATTTAATTAAATTATATACTTCATATATAAACTCCTTTTTTATTTGTTGAATGTGGTCCGGGTTATCGACCATATGCAACTTGGTGTTGCACCAAATTTATTTTTAAGGTAAACATTAGGGAATCTAGTACGTGCTCCGTAGCATAATGACTTATATACGTCTCTGTAGTATAATGACTTATACACTTATATACGTCTCTGTAGTATAATGACTTATACACGTCTCTATAATATAATCATGTGAAATGAGTCGGAAATATTATAGTGAACACTGAGGAGGATTTAAATATGTGACCTAATTATACACGGACATTTAGTTGACATCCTAGCAAGTGCTTCTAGTGAGCTTTGTAAAATCGTAGATGAGGATATATGTGGTGTGGCCTTGCCTTGCCTAGTTCTCTTTATTTTTTATTCTTCCATTAGTTTAATCTCTTTATCATCATCACAATTAAAATTAAAATTTCAGCTTTGTCACAAAATTAAACTTGATTTGATTTAACAAATTCCCCACTTAGAGCTAATTTTAATTTCTCTCTGAAAAAAGAGGACAATAAAACCTCCTTTTATGTTGATCAATTACTCTTATGAAATGGTCTGTCACATAAATGTTTCACATGATATATAATGTGGCTAATTATTATGAGTGTTATTGCTTTCCTACAAAGTACATACAATAATCACAAGACTAATTGTACTAAGTAATTAAATACAAAGCACACATTAATTAAAACTTAGCTTGGAAAAGCCATGACAAAGGTGGACCTCTTTTGTTGTACCTTTTTCCATCTTAGTGTAGTCTATAACATGTGCTTTTACGTCAATCGTCATCTTATTAATTAATTTGTGTTTTAACTTAAATTAATTGTTTGATTAATTTCGTAGGTGAAATGGGTCCGGATGCTTTATGATGATTTTTCAACATTTACTAGAGATCAAGAACACTTAATCTCACTTTATGGAAATTACCAAGAGTTAATCAACATCAATCATGGTTTAAACTATGTTGAAGGTTCTATTATTTTGCAACAAGCTAATCCAAATAACTGGAGATCCTCTTTCTTTTCATCTAATGATCAACTTAGAATTACTTCTTTGAATGTTCCTAATGGTGTACTTTACTTCTTAGAAGTGGCAAAGTTTTATTATGATCATGATGATGACACCAATACGGATAAGGTAATAATTAGTTGTTACATTATTTCAACCTCTCTTAATTTATCATTATATTACGTACTTGATTTCTTTTGTGTTTGCTTAACATGTTATGGTACACGAACATTTGTAGGAACTAAAGAAGCAACTCGAGGGGCTTAATTATATTCCGGAATTTATTTTCACTAGGGATGTATCTTTCGTCGAGTTCTTGAATCGAGTTCGAAAAGGAGAGTTAGAACTTCATTCCAAAGGATTGTGGGAAGTTCCACATCCATGGCTTAATATCTTCATACCGAAATCTCAAATTGAGGATCTTTACCATGTTATTCCTAACATCATCGCCAAAGATAACACGGATTTAGCCGGACCAATCCTCCTTTATCCATTGAACCGTAACAAGTATGTCACGCTAATAATTTTAGTACCTTTATCATTAGGGTGCGTTCTCTTCACCTGAATTTAAATGATTTGGACATATCAGACTTAATTAGCCTTAAAAAATTTTGAAAGTTGAAGAGAACGCACCCTTATTACTTATATATTAGTAAAATTACTAAATCAAATTACACCAACAATGTGATTATTATTCAATTCATAACATTTTAAACTCTGGATTTTTAACGGGGTACCTATAATGCAGGTGGGACGACAAGATGTCCGCGGTTACACCCGAAGAAGATGTGTTCTACACACTAGGGTTGCTCCATTCTAGTGGTTATGATGATTGGGAAGCATTGGAGAGAAAAAATGAGGAGATATTAAAATATTGTGAAGAACATGGTATTAAGATTAAGCAATATCTTCCTCATTATACCGCAAAAAAAGAGTGGGAAAATCATTTTGGACACAAAAAATGGAGAATATTTCAACAAAGAAAGAATTCATTTGATCCAAAAATGATTCTGTCACCTGGTCAAAAGATATTTAATAGTGTAGACCAAGGTGAAGATCGAAGTAGGTCCATGTAGAAGACTTACATTATGCCTTTAGTCGTTGTACATAGAATATTTTGTAGTAGTTATGAAAATTCTCTCCATTTTGTCTAGTATATGGATGATCAAATACATGCCAAATTGCCAATAGATATAAATTATAGGTAATTATGGATAATTGGTTATGTATTTGTTGTTGTAACTAGTTTTATTTAGACGTGAGAGAATTAATAAAGTATATAGGGACATTTCTTTATCGTGATGGACTTATTCAAAAGCAGACTACGAATAAAACAACCGATTTAATGCACTTATATAAAAACTACTTAGTGAATAAATTGGTTAAAATATTGTTATTGAACGTGTTACTCTGTATTTTATTATAACAATGCTTTATATCTTATAAGGATGTGTACACAAGTTTGCAACTCGTTACAAATGTACTACTTTTTGAAAAAACAAATTAAGAATATTCCGAAAATCTAATTAAATTTCAAAAATATTTTTAGAATTGTACTTTTTTTTTTGTATTTAGAGATCCACAAGGACGGGGGTGAGAATCAATCCCAAGATCTCCTGAAACCGGGAGGAAAACTCTAACCACTTGAGCTATCCCTCACTCTCAGAATTGCATTTCTTTATACAATACAATGCATGAAATGTGAATAAAAGAAATATGTTTAGAAAAGAAGTAGTAGCTAGTACAAGTGATATGCAAATAGTCAAACGTAATAAATAACTCATTCATCAAATCAAGTAGGGAGAGTAAAAAAAAAAAAGGAAGCATTATATGATTTGTAAGAGGTAGTAAATTCATATAATAGGTGTGAAATAACGGTTTATTGTTGTACGTTGAAGGTATGTAGTAAGGTAATTTAAGGGAGTGTTGTCTTCTCCGTCAATAAATTCAAGAATGTCGAGCCTTTAATTTAAGTACAATAATTCATAAACAATGACGACTTTGATGGCTTGGTAGCTGTAGACACCCATTTGTGTCTCCCCAAAACCAAACTCGGTGATGAGTGTCTTTTACGTCGAATCATAATCGAATGAAACGAAAGTGTGGAAAGGTCTAGCGTTGCGGAAAGTTTTATTTCTTTTCTCTTCTCCCTGTTTTTGAAAACTTTATTTTAAGAAAACAGCCAATCCAGTTTTGGTTGATCCATGATATGGGTCCAATAGTGGTGTAGTTGGATGGGGCTTGCAAAGACCTTTCCAACGATATATTATAAGCCCAATTCCGATGAATATTGAGGAAGTTATGACCAATTTACTAAACTGGGCCCGGTTTGAGTTTTAAGTACGGCCTAATGATCTAGGGGAGGGCCTAATATAATTTATCATTCCTAATGTAATTAGGAATGGTTTTAGTCTTCTAGAACATTCTAGAAGGTTCTTTTCATTCTTAATTCAATTAGGACTCTTCAGAGTTTTAATCAAGATCAAATAGCATTTTCGACTGAAATTATATTATTTTATCTTCCAGTACGGGAAATTTATCGGATTTTCGAAAACGCGTTAAAAATCAGTTTGGCGTCCAACCCCAGGCCTTGGCGCCTAGAACCAGGATTGGCGCCAGGCGCTAGCCACTGGTGCTGGCGCCAACTAGCCAGGGCTGGCGCCAAGGTTGTTTTTCGATCTTCAGACTCTGTTTTGTTAAATTATCTTTTTTGGATGATTTTCTCTATAAATATCGTATTAAAAACTCCGTTTTCAGGGACGAATTCTCATCAACAATTAGTTTTAATTAGCATTCACCAATTCTCTTCATTCATCAAGCTTTCATTCATTCTTTAGCATTCAATTCTTTCTTGTTCTTTTATACAAAATTCCGCATTCGCAAGATCTTGATATACCTATCCATATTCGAAGTTGCCTTCGCCCTAGACGTGAAAGGTTTTAATTTCTGAGGGTTTGGTCCCAAATCTCTCTTTCAATTATTTAATTTAATTGTTTTGATTATTATTTTCCTTAAAGTTACTAACGTGTGTATTTTGTTATTAGAAAGAGGTACGAGGCATCCAAGTAAGTACTCTAATGGTTTAATTGATATTATGATGTAGGAATCATGCTTAGATTGTTATTTTGATTCCTAGTATCATGTTAGGATGTTTTCCTTAATTTGATGTTTAGGGTGACAACAATAAATTCCTAGTATCATGTCTAGGGTAACTTTAATATCAAGTATGATTAAAAGTACGATGCTTCCTATATTCTTCCTAATATTTATGATTGTTAGTATCATGTTAGGGTTAAAGATTTGATTTTTATTGCTTGGTGACATGCTAGGATTTGTTATTAATCTTGTTAGTATCATGCCTAGGATCTTGCTATGCTTTAACATGATTATGATGATTATGATTATGATTAATATTATTATTCATGATGTTGACATTTATTATGTTGCTTGATGTGCTCATTATTTTATTCTTTATTGTTTGATCACCTTTTATTGCATGTTTAAAGGGAATTCGTATTTGCAATCATGCTTAATAAGATAATTAATAATCTTATTAGGTTAATTGTGATTATAAATTCAAGTGATCGCCAATAATAGTTTATTTGTGCATTATATTCAACCAACATAGATAAACAGGTTTAGGGTTAATCCTATTGATTGCATGTTAGTCAAAAAGCGCACATGAATACGAGTAGATTAAAGTAGAGGCCTATTATTAGGGCAGGTTCAATCTCTTTTAGGTTGGATTTGTACCATCATCCCCGAACCCTTATTTGGTTCATAACCTTATGGAGTTGATGATCTCTTGGATCGTTAAGGGGTGTAACTTTCACCTCGTGATGGTTTACAAGTTCCTTAAAAACTTGTTGGCGACTCTTTTGCTCTATTTTCTTCCCTTTTGGACGCCACCGTACTTTAGTGTATGATCACAGTGGGGTTCGAGCTAGTGGGATTTTTAAGGCTTGAAATTATTCCCTACAGTAGCATGAACTATCAATATCATTGTTGACACCGAAATTTTGTAAGTTATTAGGTGTCAGATTTATGTAATAAGGAGATTATATATATATATATATATATATATATATATATATATATATATATATATATAAAGATATTTATCTTCAGAATCTCATTGATCATTATCTTAGCTTTACGACACTCTATCTAAAGAGGGTCGAATCTAGGGTTTAATGAGGCTCGCATGGAATAAGTCACAAAGACCCCATCTCCTCCCTACTACCAAACATTGTAGGTTCATAGTATGGATTAAGCCGACAAGGCCCCGTACTATAAACAAATATCAAAACCCTAGCCATGTGGAGAGAGGAATCAAGATATCTACGAGAGTTATAACCCATAAATTATCAATAAAATCATTGTTCCCGTATATTTTTCTACCTCTTTAAATATATATTGCAGGTTTGAATTTTTATGGTTTACAATCATATACAAAGACTTCGTATTCTAGAAGACAATGAGCTTATATATTTGAATGGAATTAAAAATTTGAGAGGATGCATGTCCAATGATATACTTACTTTGCCGTTCGTCTGTTTGTGTTTTGTTAAAGGATGCACCATCAATAACACGTGTTATAACAGTAGCATTTTATATTATCTGATTGCCTAAATAGCATCATGTTGCTACTACGTCCGTTACATATTAATTATTTGCAATGATTTGACATAAAGTAGAGAGGAAAAATGTCTAATCGTTGAAAATAATATGTAACGGATCGATGTAGTATTTTTAATATCTACATGTTGATGGATTGGTTTATTACATCTGTATTATCAAAGTCAAGGGAGGAGGGGGAGTGAAAAGTTGGTATCTAAAATAGGAAAATTGACTTAAAATAATACCAACTATCATCGGTGTGTGCAAAATAATACAAACTCAACTATTTGCTATTAGTGGTACCACCTTTTATACTATATGCGCAAAATAGTAAGCTAATCTCCGAAAATGTATTTCAATGAATATTCTGTCTATCTTTGTAATTAATAATTATTTTTTATATTAATTTTTTGTTTTCTTTTCAAAATACATATATAGCATTATGTTAACAATTTTCTTTACAATCCAAATTGATAATGCATTAATGGTCACCCTTTTGTTAGGAAAAATCAACATGTAATTAATTTTTTTCATAATACATATAGTAATTTCTACATCACACAATAGTAAATAGGGTATTTAAATGCCTTATTATTATCATTATGTTGATATAATTAGTTTCAAAATATCCGAAATTTTTCCACATTCACCAACCAAAATAATGTAGGGAATTTTTTGGATTTTTAAAATAAATTTTGAAACTAATTAAATCAAAAATACCCTATTTACTATTGTGTGATAGACTGTTAGTAGAAATAATCACTACATGTATTTTGAAATAAATTATATAAATACATATTGACAATTAAAAAAACCTAACAAAGGGGTGGGGCATGCATTATTAATTTGACTGTAAAGGAAATTATTAATACAATATGTATTTTGAAAAAAATAAAATAAAATAATGAAAATAAATAGACACAATTTTACTCAAAATACGTTTTTGTTGACTTGCGTACTATTTTGCACATATAGTATAAAAGGTGGTACCGCTAATAGCAAATAATTAAGTTCGTATTATTTTGCACACACAGTTGATAGTTGGTATTATTTTAAGCCAATTTTCCTCTAAAATATGGACTATTAAAACACAAAGTCTTATATGTGACTGGTTATACCGTCTGTAATAGGGGTTACTCGATATGTGTTAAAGAGATTACTAAATTAGTATTACAAGGGTTACTTGGTTAGTGTTATAAGGGTAACTTGATTTTTTTTATAATTGGCCACATGGTAAGGACAGCTATACACAAAACAGGCTGCTATTAAAAAATAAAAACACCCCAAATCAGGGTTGATTAATTGACATAGAATACAAATTAGGGTATGTAATAAAATATTATCAAATCTAAAACTTGAAAAAGCAATCAAATAAAAATTACCATATACATAACCACAAATAAGAAGCCAACTCCTAAAAAAAACGACAAACTCTTATAATTATTGAATTATACACGCGGGTGTACCATGAGCTTGATGATCCCTTGAATTGTGGAGTTGATATATATGTGTGTGTATGTGTGTAAAGTTGGCAGATTCCATATTAATTTGATGTAAATTCCAGCGTTTAAAGCAGGGTGTACCATGAGCGTGTATTATGTAAATTTCAATACTTTTATTTCTAACTACTAAGTTAAACCACATACAATAGATGAACGATTGTTAAATAATTATAGTGACAACAAATTTTAAAAGTATCATATAAAAAAGGACTCAACACATAATTATTAGAAGTATATGAAGTTTTGAGTGGATGAAGTGTAAAATATGGATTATTCCCTAAATTTTAATAGGGTTAGTATTAAAACTAAGGGCATGTTCACTTCAGCTTCATTTCAGTTCAGTTCAGCTCCAATTAGTTCACTTCAGTTCAGTTCAATTCAGTTCATCTTTTAATCTCCTTTTCTCATAAAATATTCATTTCACCTCAGTTCAGTTCAGTTCAATTCAGTTCACTTCAGCTCCATTCAGTTCAATTCAGCTCCTAAGTTTTCCTAAATTTTTTTAGTTATTAGAATGAGGTCAGTATTCATTTTTCTTTCAAAAAAAAAAATGCTAGTACGTATTATTCCCCTATAAAATAAATTAGTTTGATTAGTATTAATATATTCTACATTTTTTTCTAATAAATGACAATTTAAAAATACTCCCTCTGTTTTTTTTTAATAAGCTAGGGTTATATTTGCACATTTGCCAAGACACAACTTTGACCGCAGCATCTTTAATTCGAGGCTAGTAAAAATTATGTAAAAGTTAATTTATAAAAGTAGCCATTATGATGAATCCAACAACATATTTATATGATCATATTTATATATTATATATTGGTAGAAAATTAAGTCAATGACACATATAAATAGTGAAAAATCCCAACTCTAGCATATAAAAAACGGAGGAAGTACAATTTTTGATTTTTTTTTGAATTATTAATATTGATGATTTCAAACTTTATTAAAAATATTCAAAAAAAAAATTATTAAAGATATTGATTTTTGTAATTTTATTATTTCCCATATTTCAATAATTATATTTTTTAAAAAAATTCTTTATTTGCAAATAATTTAAAAATGAACTTACTAATACAGTACGAAATAAACTAAATGCATGATTTAATTAAATGTGCAAAAGACCCTATTACCTTTTTTATAAGCTCCCACCCTAATCAATAACTCTTATATAGTAAAAGACACACCAGCAATGACACGTGTCATCTCCTGGTGTGTCTTTATTTTTATTTTTTATTTTTTGTGGAAAGCACTAATTAAGTAAAGATTTAATGAGATAAAAAAATTGACTAATAGGTCAATTGCCTTAATTGTTAAAAATTAATTATTATCTAAATCTTTACTTTTAGAAAAAATTAAAAAAATCAATCACAACACTAGGAAAAATATCATAGATTATAATAATAATAATAATAATAATAATAATAATAATAATAATAATAATAATAATAATAATAATAATAATAATAATAATAATAAAAGATTATTATAAATTATTTTGCCAAGCTAATTACCTTAATAATCAATAACTACCGTTTTTTTTTTTTTGAAACAAGATAAGTGCTCATATTATTAAATAAGGTTCAATTCCGCCAAAGTTGTTATACTTTGAGGAAAGGAACATAAACGTACAACTTCAACATTGTTTCCGGTGTCACCTTTAGCAACTAAATGAGCCACCGTATTAAATTTACGGTTAACATGAGCAAAAGAACAATCATCAAAGAGCAACCTATCTTGTCTAATATCATCATAAATTGAGTGAATTGGAGACACACCACCATCATCCACATTCACAGCTTGAACCACATTCCAAGCATCAGATTCAACTTGGATCTTAGAGAAACCGAGCCTCCTTGCAACCTGTAAGGCAAAGCGGATTGTCAGAGCTTCAGCACACTCTGGAGATGTTGAATGGATTTTTCTTGTAGCCGTAGCAGTAATAGACCCCTGAGCATCCCTGCATACTACCCCTAAACTTGCCATACCCATTGTAGGCACATGAGCATCGATATTGACCTTAATATATCCAATTGGAGGGGAAGACCATCTCGTCACACTTGTTCCAGGACCAGGCATCATAAACGGCTTGAAGACACGCTGAGCATAGGATTTATACTCTGAAACCATACAGAGGAAACCCGCAGCAACCATGACAGGATATAAGCACTCTTCTTCGAAGACATCAAGGTTTCTACACCTCCAAGCTGCCCACATGAGAGTGATCAGCTGCCTCACCACCTCCCTATTGAATTTGCAGTTCAACCAAGTCCAAAGGTCAGCAAATGAGGAAGTTGGAGCATTAACCAAGCTGCTAAAATGTTCACAGTGCGCCCAGATGTCCTTTGCAGCCTTACACTCGAGCAAGGAGTGTATGATTGTTTCCTTCTCTGCCCCGCACACTTGGCATGACGAATCTTGAGTAATATGCCAAAAAACCAATCTATCCTTCACGGCCAAATTACCCCTTACAGCACTCCAAATAAAATGTTGTAATTTCGGAGGACCACAATGCGCCAAATTGACTTCCATATAGCATCATCATGAGTCTGCTGTGATTGATCTTCATTGCTCAGTTTAGCCAACCAATAACCCAAACTTACTGTATAAACACCTCTCCTATCATATTTCCAATACATAGTATCAGCACGCTACCTTGATGACAGTGGGGTTGCCAAAATGCACGCACCCACCTCCGTAGTAAATAGTCTTCCAATTTTCCCCGAATCCCATTCAACATAATCATCCCTAAATATATCACATACCTTCATTTCTTCATCACAATCAATCGGCTTATTAGGATATATCACACGCCCCTCAACAACCAACCATGGGTCCTTCCACACTCGAACTTGTCTACCATCCCCATTTCTCCACAATAACCCATCACAAAGTAAACCTTCCCCCCCCCCCCCCCCCACATGCTTCTCCACGAGAAACTTAGATCATACCCCCGACATGCTGCTAACACATTCGAGTTCTTAAAATACTTCGGTTTGAGAAATTTATGAAGCAATGTCGATTCATTCGAATGAAGTCGCCATAATTGTTTAGCTAAAAGGGCTTGATTAAAGCACTTCAAATCACGAAATCCTAAACCCCCTTTGTCCTTAGGAAGACACAACTTCTCCCAATTCTTCCAACGAAGTTTCTTTGCATCTTGTCTCGAACCCCACCAAAACCGGCAAAGAAGATTGTGAAATTCATCAATTAACCCATCCGAAATTCTAAATATGCTCATCATATAAGCTATTGGCCTTGATTAGAACTTCCTTCTTCCCCGGCTTCGATAGGAGCCTCTCTTTCCATCCATTCAACTTCTTTCATATCCTCTCCTTCAAGCAAGTGAAAATGGCTTTTTTTGATTTTCCGATCATAGTAGGCAACCCTAAATACTTCTCATGTCTCTCCACTTCACGAACACCAAGAGTGTTAATGATAGCATTTCTCCGATCACTAGTAACACATTTGCTAAATGCAACCTCTGTCTTCCCCAAATTAACTTTATGACCAGATGCTCTTTCATACGTACTGATAATTTCAGCAATTTTCGAGCACTCCTGCAGAGTAGCTTTAACAAATAGAATACTATCATCCGTAAAGAAGAGATGTGAGATCCCCGGACCCGATTGACTGATTTTCACCTCACTAAGATTTCTTTCAAATACAGCTTTGAAGATCAGAGAAGAGAAAGCGTCTGCACATAAAAGAAACAAATAGGGAGAAATAGGATCACCTTGTTGGAGACCCCTAGATGGGGAGATCGACCCATAAATATCACCATTCACCTTAAAAGAGAAGGAAACACTCAAAATGCAATCCATCACCCGTCGAATCCAACTAGCACAAAAACCCATTTTAATCATCACTTTTTCCAAAAAGCACTACTCAACCCTATCATAGGCCTTACTCATATCTAATTTAAGAGCAACTGTCCCGTTCCTACCTTCGCCATTCCTTTTCATATAATGAAAAATCTCAAACGCAATCAAGGCATTATCAGTAATTAAACGACCCGGAACAAAAGCACTCTGATTTATAGAAATAATCTCATCAAGAAACAACTTCAATTTATTCGCCACAGTTTTTTAGATTATTTTATAAATCACATTGCAGCAACTAATAGGCCTATATTCTGTCATATTCTTTGGATCATTGCAATTAGGGATAAGTACAATACAGGTTTTATTAATTTCAGAAATATTAATCAAACCTCTCCACCAATTTTGCACAAGTTTAATAATATTAGAGCTAAGAATATGCCAGAATTTTTGAAAGAACAAAGCATGTATACCATCCGTACCCGGAGCTTTGTTAGGGTGCATTTGGAACAAAGCGTTTTTTATCTCCATAGCAGTCGGTTCCTCCTCAAGCACGGAATTGTTGAATCTGTCACCACCGAGCTTAGACCATCCGTAGCAGCTTCGAACTCAGTTGGATTATCAGAAGAGAAAAGATGTGAAAAATAGTCGGCTATAATGTTGCAAATCTGCTCGTTATCATCCCTCCATACCCCATCATTGTCAAACAAACCATCGATGCGATTCTTTTTCTTGCGTTGGTTGGCCTTCCGATGAAAATATGCTGTGTTTTTATCCCCATCCCTCATTTCATTTCCACGAGCCCTCGCATACCAATACGATTCCTCCAACCTTCTTAGCTCCCCCTATTCATTCGAGATTTTTTCACAGCATTCCAACATAGCAGCATCAATATGACCACCTTGCGCTTCTAACAGTTCCTTCTCTAATCTTCTGATTTTCTTCTGAGTGTTTTTAAAAGTGGAAGAAAACCACTTTTTAAGGCCCAAAGTGCATTGCTCAGTTCGCTGATGTGCCTCTAAACCCTCACTATCGCCCCAAGCTTTCGAAATCACCGCTTCACAATAGTCATTCGAGAGCCACATAGCCTCGAACCTAAAAAGTTTTCCACCCTTGCCTCTATCATAGTAATTCAGTGTATCCAACATAATCGGAGCATGGTCCGATTCTTCACGTACAAGGTGCTTAATAGAGAAGTTTGGATGCATCTCACACCAATCATCATCCCCCAAAAAACTATCTAGCCTTTCTCTGATCAAATTCTCCTCCGATTTCCCCCACTGCCACGTGAATTTGCAACCCTTGTATCCTAAATCTTTCAACCCACACACATCAATAGCATCCCTGAAAGCATCCATCATACATTCCCTCCTAACCACACCTCCTCCTTCTCCGACATACTCACAATTTCATTGAAGTCCCCAAACATAATACATGGAATATTACACGATTTTTTTTCATATTTTTCTTTAATTCCCACGTTTTATGTTTATTTGTGTTCTCCGGCCAACCATATATACCTATAGCTCTCCAACTCGGCACCCCATTTATATCACATACATCTACATCGAAATGGTGTATAGAATATGAAATAATATTTATGTGAGCATCTCGCCACCAAAACCCCAACCCCCCTGTAGGGAATAATTTCAAGCGTTAACCCCCTAGCTTGAAACCCACTGTGATCATACACTAAAGTACGGTGGCGTCCAAAAGGGAAGAAGATAGAGCAAAAGAGTCGCCAACAAGTTTTAGGAACTTGTAAACCGTTCACAAGGTGAAGGTTACACCCCTTAACGATCCAAGAGATCGTCAACTCCATAAGGTCTTGAACCAAATAAGGGTTCAGGGATGAAGGTACAAATCCAACCTAAAAGAGATTGAACCTGCCCTAATAATAGGCCTCTACTTTATTCTGATCGTATTCATGTGCGCTTTTTAATTAACATGCAATCAATAGGATTAACCCTAAACCTGTTTATCTATGTTGGTTGAATTTAATGCACAAATAAATCTATTATTGGCGATCACTTGAATTATAACCAAATTAACCCTAAACAAGATTATTAATTATCTTATTAAGTGTGATTACAAGTACAAATTCCCTTTAAACATGCATAAAAGGCGTGATCAAGCAATAACAATAAAAAAGCATCAAGCAACATAATAATCATCAAAATCATGATAATAATCATGATAATAATAATTATAATAATCATAATCATAATAATCATGTTAAAGCATAATGAAAATAGCAAGATCCTAGGCATAATACTAACAAGATTAATAACAAACCCTAGCATGTCACTAAACAATAAAATCAAAGCTTTAGCCCTAACATGATACTAACAATCGTAAATATTAGGAAGAACATATAAGGCATCGTACTAATCATACTTGATATAAAATTACCCTAGACATGATACTAGGAATATCATAACAATCTAAGCATGAACTCTATATCATAACATCAATAAAACCATTAAAGTACTTACTTCGATGCCTCGTACCTCTTTCTGATAACAAAATACACACGTTAGTAACTTCAAGGAAAATAATAAACAAACAATTAAATTAAATAATTGAAAGAGAGATTTGGGACCAAACCCTCAGAAATTAAACCTTTCAAGTCTAGGGCGAAGGCAACTTCGAATATGGCTAGGTGTTCTAGAGCTAATGAATGCGGAATTTTGTATATAAAAAGCTAGTTTAGAAAGAGAGAGAGAGAGAGAGAGAGAGAGAGAGAGAGAGAGAGAGAGAGAGAGAGAGAGAAAGAGAGAGAGAGAGTAATCAAGGAGAACTTGATGAGAATTGGTGAGAATGAGAGAGAATAAGAATTGGTGATTGTAGGTTAAAACTGATTATTGATTAAAAATGGTTATTGATTAAAACTGGTTATCGAAAACGGAGTTTTTAATACGTTATTTATAGAGAAAATCAGCTAAAAAGATAAAATATCAAAACATAGTCTGGCGCACATGAAACTGAACTAGCGCCAACGTTGGTTGTTGGCGCCAGGCGCCAACACTAGCGTCAGGCGCCAAAGCTGGCGCCAGGCGCCAAGCGTAGCGCCAGGTGCTACAGCTGGCGTTTGGCGCTGATCTGGAAAATTACGCGTTTTTTTAAAATCAGATGAAAATTGTCGTACAAGAAGATAAAATCGTATTTTTCCTCAAAAATGCTCTTTGATTTTAATTAAAACTCTGAAAAGTCAACAAAAGTCAATTTATCAATGCTAATTGAATTAGGAATGAAAAGAACCTTCTAGAAGAATCTAGAAGACTAAAACCATTCCTGATTGCATTAGGAATGATAAATCATATTAGGCCCTCCTCTAGATCATTGGGCCGCATATAAGGCTCAAACCGGGCCCAGTTTAGTAAATTGGTCATAACTTCCTCAATATTCATCGGAATTGGGCTTATAATATATCGTTGGAAAGCTCTTGTCAAGCCTCATCCAACTACACCATTATTGGACCCATATCATGGACCAACCAAACTGGATTGGCTGTTTTCTTAAAATAAGTTTTCAAAAACAGAGAGAAGAGAAAAGAAATTAAAACTATCCGCAACGCTAAAATTTCCACACTTTCGCTTCATTCGATTATGATTCGACGCGAAAGGTACTCATCACTGGGTTTAGTTTTGGGGAGACACAAATGGGTGTCTACACCCCCCGATCTCCCAACACTACTAAGACACATACCATTATCAAAACCATTTCTCCTTTTAACTCTCTCCAAAACACTACTATCAATCTTCGTCTCCATAAAAAACACAACATTCGGCCTTTCCCTCCATTCTCTCCGTCCAAGGGTTGCCAACCCCTCGGACGTTCCAACTTAAGAGTTTCATTGCTCTTCGAGGGTGTGGTCACCACCACTCCCCTCTACTTTGTTTATATTGCTTCTAGTGATAATATCTACATCATCCTTCCTTCTTTTACTACTCTGATCTTCCAACTCCATCCACGACCCACCCCTTTTTCCCCCACCCACAACACCATCACCACCCCCCTGCACAGCCGACACACCCATATTAACCCCATATCCTTCCTCCATTCTAACTACCCTTTTCCATGAGCTACTTGCTTTGTTTTTACCACCATCCCCTATGACCCCTACATCACCACGACCAGCTTCTTTCCCAGCACTTTCCCCTGTTCCCTCCATACTCCCCACACCACTACTCTCCAGCCACCCCCCAACATTCTTCGTCAGCCCTCCTCCCTCAACACAACATCCTCCTTCACACTAGGTACAACAATATTACCCTCAAGAGGGGGTTCTTCCACGACACCAATTAAACTCCTCGGCCTTAGAATTTCCCTGTTACTAGCAACATCGAATACAAGTGCTAGCTTTGCTTCACGAGCTTTGGGATATGCACCTTCAGCGGACTCTTTCGAAGTGGCAGCGACAGAACAACGATTTTGGGTTCCTTGGTACGCTAGTTAGCCCCTATAAGCAATTTTACATGATTGAGTAGTCGATTTGATTACAACCGCAAATAGGTGGTCGACCTGATGAAAGATCGTCTCACTTAGCTTAAAACGCCTAAGCATTGGCTCAAAAGCAGAAAAGGCACCGACGTATAGGTTCAAAGCAACGAAAGCGCCGACGTACAGGCATAGCGGAAGCAAAGTTCGAGCGAGATTTAAAGATCGACAAGTGTTGGTCTTCGGTAATTTTCTTCGGAATATAATCGCAACAACTGAGGATGACTTCAAGTAAAGTTATTTTCGACAGCATTCGCTAAGATTATGGAAGTTGTCACTAAAGATTTGAGAAGATAGCACGAGATGGGCGGTCTTCGACAGTGTTCGCTATGATTGTGGAAGTTGTCACTAAAGATTTGAGAAGATAGCACGAGATGAGCGGTCTTCGACGGCATTCGCTAAGATTGTGGAGGTTGTCACCAAAGATTTGAGAAGATAGCACGAGATGGGCGGTCTTCGACGGCATTCGCTAAGATTGTGGAGGTTGTCACCCGAGATTTGAGAAGATAGCACGAGATGGGCGGTCTTCGACGGCGTTCGGTAAGATTGTGGAGGTTGTCACCAAGATATGAGAAGAGCGGTTCATGATGAGGCGGTCTTCGATGACTTTTGCTATGATTGGAAAGGTTGTCACTATGACTCAAGAAAAGGCTCAAGATGTAGCAACATTGATCGACGGCATTCCCTAGATTGCAGAAGATCGTCAAAACAAACAGCAAGATGGCGTTCCATAGATGGTGGGAAGTTGTCAAAAAGCAACTGAAGATTGTTTCAAGAGGAATAATCTTCGATAGTATTCCCTTGGATGTGGAATATTATCAATGCGGATGGAGATTGTTTCAAGAGAAATAATCTTCGATGGTATTCCCTTGGACGTGGAATATTATCAAAGCGGAGGAAGATTGTTTCAGGCGAAGAAATCTTCTAAATTGGAAGGAGTTACAGGCGTAGCGGTTTTCAAGCGGGATGGCATTCTCTAGCTTGCAGGAGGTCATCAAAACAATCGGTTACTTTTAGAGACGTGTGCTCGACGGTGCAAGATACGCGTTTCTTAACTCTCTTATCTGTTTAACTAACGCTAGTTTTGCAGGTATCGGCGCTACAAGATTGATTTAGGATCGCAAAACGTTCTGAATCATTCTCCGTCCCTATCGATACTTTGACTTTTGTTTTCGAAACTCGCGTTTCTCCAAACTCAGTCAAAGTGGGGGCTTCTGTAGACACCCATTTATGTCTCCCCAAAACCAAACCCGTTGATGAGTACCTTTCACGTCGAATCATAATCGAATGAAGTGAAAGTGTGGAAAGTCTAGTGTTGCGGATAGTTTTAATTTCTTTTCTCTTCTCTCTATTTTTGAAAACTTATTTTAACACTACGTGAAAAAATGAATTTGGCACCGGTTCAAACCCGGCCTAAGGCACCGGTTGGGGGGTGCCAAAAAAGGGTTTAAAAAGGCACCGGTTCAAACCGGTGCCAAAAATCGAAATTGGCACCGGTTAACCGGTGCCAAAAAGGCCCACAGAAAATTATTTCAAAGTTTTTGGCACCGGTTAACCGGTGCCAAAAAACCCCCAAAAATCAATTTTTTTTTTTTTGTTGTTGTTGTCATTTTTCACTTAAAAATCAAATTGACTAAAATAAATAAGAACAACAACATATTAATCGAATATCATTGAATATAACCAAAATTTACAGTATATAATCAAGAAAAAATTACAATATACAAATTATAAAATTAAACAATTACAACATATAAATAAATAAAAAAGAACTACAATATAAATCAAAAAAAAATATTACAACATCACAATAAAAAAAAACCCAAACATCTAAATCAATATTCTTGATTCTTGATTC